GGCTCCCCCAGTCCCTGAGGATCCCCAAATGGGACTCAAACTGGAAGAATCCTTTTGGCACACCACTCCAATAAATTAATAAATACTCATTTGCTAGGGTATAATTAGGTAGGTCCTTAAACTAGAAAATAAATCTTTGCGGCCCTTTTTAATTCTAGATGTGGCCGTTGAAACCCTAGATTCTTGCCCTGACTTAATTTAGGCATGATATGGCTCAGTGACTAAGATGCCGAGCTTGTGTATCAGAAAGGTCAGTAGTTCGGTGGTTCGAATCCCCAGCACCGCGTTACGGAGTGAGCTCCCGCTCCTTGTCCCAGCTTCTGCCCACCTAGCAGTTCAAAAGCATGTAAAAATGCAGGTAGAATAACAGGGACCCCTTTGGTGGGGAGGTAACAGCGTTCCCTGCGCGTTCGGCGTTTAGTCATCCCAGCCATGTGACCACGGAGACGTCTTCGGACAGCGCTGGCTCCTCGGTTTTGTAACGGAGATGAGCACCACCCCCTAGAGCTGGAAGTGACTAGCAGGTATGTGGGAGGGGAATTTTTACCTTTACCTTTTCATTGGTTCTTAGAACCAGAAAGCATCTCAACAGCCCTTTTTAATGTCAAGTGTGCCAGAGATTTATAATCGATTTTATAGTTTCCTGCCTGGCATAAATTTAGCCATGGCAATTGTTCTTAGAACCAGGAAAAAAGCCTCAATGGCTCTTTTTAATGTTAGGTATAGCCAGTTATTAATAAAAGGTTTCTAGTTAGGTATAATTTTAGCCTGGGATGTGGTTGAAAATGTATGTTGTTTTTGACTGGTAAATTACACACAATTACACACAATATGTGGCTCTCATCTCAAGAATTTTGATTTCTTTTATCACACACATTAGTCATCTTTTTATTCCAGGCTTGGTTATACTCTGTTTGACAAGAGTTTTACCCCTGACTTACTGTTGTTAAGTAGCTGTGATGCTTATGATAGACGAGATATTTTATCTGTTGCCTATTTTTATGTATCCTTTCATATCATCATCTCTTCACCAAGAGATACCTGTTGTGATATTCAAGTGTTTGAACATTAAAGTTTTGTTTTCTTTCTTCTGAGAGAAATCTTTCAATAACAACTGTGGTTTCTTTTACACCTCACCATTTTTTTAAAATGTCATTTTAAATAAGTGAACCATTTACTTTACATCATGGTATTTTATTGTTGCTTTTGTAATGTTTATGATTATGTGACTTTTTGTCATCCTTAAAAAACTGGATGATACTTTTATGTATTTTTATGACTTTACTATGATTTGAATTGTTGTACACTGTTGTAGTTGGGTTATGCTTGGAAGATGAGATGCTAACAATAAAGTATTTGAATGCTTTCAAGTCTTCCTCAACTATATTTGTGATCCTGCAATCAGGATCTTGGACCTGTTGGGCACCCTGCACTTCTGCTCTTTGCTGAAATCACCAAGGAAAATCTTTTGTGAAGACTCGGGGTTTTGGTGTATTCGGAAATGTCCTGTTCTACCAAAATAAACCTCCAATAAAATTATTTTTGCACTTGTCATAAAATTATTTTCCATCTCTC